ACTAGTCAAGATATAAACAATGCATTATATGCACAAAACTAATTGAAAACATAGAGCAGTCTGCTTTAAGACTAGGGGAAGTCATTAAAAATGGAGGAAGAGGAGGCCAATACAAGACAGGCTATATTAGGAGTTAAACAGAAAGTTCTTCATCGCTTGCATTACACCCTTCTTGGCAAATTGCTTGATAGGAACCAAGGATTGGGGAATAAGATGATATATTCCTTATTGTCTGACATTCCTCAATCTTGTGTGAGTTTGAAGTAAGTTCTGAAGAGTTTCTTTTCTTCATAGTGAAAGTATGCAATTTCCCATAATGGATGTATGTATGTATTATCAGTAGAAACAAAATCGCCGGGGGGGGGGGGAGATCTAAAGTTTAAGAAAATCTAAAGAAAAATAAAATCTTTCTTTTTCACCTTATGTCCTTCTGCTTTACATTTCCTATTTGGATCTTTTTTAAAAAAATGTAATGGCCTCCTGCAAAAGATCAAATTCAAAAGACAACTATAGAATACAACTCAGAATGTTTTGAAGCCACATCAAAGAAAATAATTAAAGAACTGTGGTGAAGGTTTAGGAGCCCATCCTAATATAGCTGCTTCTTGAAGGACAGGCATTTATCAAACATAAGCATTAGGTGTAGGTTAGACATTTGGTTGCATAGCAAAGAGTTTTGATATATTATAGAAATAATTTAGTGTGTTGGAGCGGAGAGGTTGATCCAGTGATTCCAGCATAATGTATGTAGAAAGTATTAAAACAACGTGCATGTACTAAAATGCGTATCAGACCAAAGTTTCAAAGAAGATTCAACCAATTGTTCCTGTGACTCGCACAAGCAAAACATAAAAGTCAAAAGTCTGCTGATGTTGTATGTTAGCCACAGGTGGTATTCAGCCAGTTCTCTCCGGTTCGGGTGAATCAGTAGCAGCAGCTGCGGGAGGCTCCACCCACATGCCCTGACGTAATGCGCGAGTACTGCACATACACAGGTGGTACACGCATGCTCACATTCATGAACTGGTAGGGAAGGTAAGTGAATTCTACTGCTGATATCAGCGTTTCTCAAACAGAAAGGCCTTCTCTTTCCAAACTGTAGGAATTTAATTCCAACACATCTAGATGAAGACTGCTGTATAACTTAACTTTAAATTCATTGTACTGGAGATGGACACTGTATTCTTCAATAGCCATTGCTATTCCTTAAAAACTATTTCTTTATTTTAGTCGAATGAAAGAAAACCCAACTGAAAATACAGAAACTTGCATTTTCATCCACAACATTATGATAGATAGCTTGGCAATACTGCAAGCATACCGGTAGTAGCTGAATTCTTCCATGGAGAACATGGTAGCTTGTACATATTTAATCTCTGTCTCCCAATGAACCTCATTTATTAACCATATTATGGTTTATTAGCCAGTGGCATTTATTAGCCATTGGCATCTCAATGATGCCAATATATTTTTTACCCATTAGTTTAAATAGCATTGCAAATTCAGTAAATGGATTCTGCAATAAAAATATTACATACTCTCTATGTGAACATTAATAAACTAGCCTTCGTTTCTTTTAAATCAAAACGCATTTGAAATTATATTCTGCTTTGTGAATATAAACACCCTTTGCTTTCTCCATAGAGAGATTCTTGAAGTGACTTGAAATCTTCAGGACTCGTATCTATTGTTGTGATTGGGCTTTGTCTTGAATTCTAACAGAATTTGATATATCACTTCATGTTTCTTAAGATACCTGACTTTTTCCTTTATAGTTTAACACAAAGCATTCCTAATATCAACATAACAAGCACTTGATCCCCTTATTATTTCTAACCAACTAAGAGTTACATGATTTTGCAATTTTTGCAAATGTTTACAGTGATGTATTTCCACAACTGTATAGTTCACAATGCCTTGAACCTCCAGGATGGGCATTAACTTGTACAACCACATTTTTTTTCTTATTATGCAGCACAATTAGTATTTTCTATAAAGGAAAGCCTATCTGGTTCCTTTCATGGGAAGGGGGTGGCACTAATCAGGTAAAAAAACATATTTACCGGAATGCTTCTTGTTGTAGTACAGATGCTCAACAGACGAAGCTATTGTGATCTCATATCATCACGCAAATGACATTTTTACATTTGTGTAAGTTACATCGTATCACTGGTGTCAATTGTGTCCCTATGTCATGACATATGTGGAGTTCATTTGTCTACTTTCAGTCCCACTGAGGATGCCTATGATTTTTCTCTCTTTCTAAAAATGAGCCATTGGGAATTTTTTTGGATTAAATATACAAATTATTCCAGATTTTTTTTTAAAAAAAAGCAGTTCATTTAAGTAACTCAAATTAAGACTTTAGCTGATAAGAATGATGGATTCATATTTATAGACTATCATGTAGAAATCCTAAATTTATTCTGCAAAACTTTTATGACATTTGTGAATACCTATCAACTGTTATACTAACCAAACTAATTTTGATTGCTATCCGGTAACCAGATAAGTTTGATTAGTCTTGATTGTGTTAGCATATTGCCCTTTTATATACGGCTTCTAGTCGAGTCTTTGAAGTTCTGGGAAAATCCAGGTCTGGATGACTAACTCTGGAGTTATCTTACTCTTCAATCAGTGAATGGCTTCACATGCCAAAGTCATGCTGAAACTTTTGTTTTGACTGCTGTTGGAACTTTCCTCTTTAAGATCCGAAACCACAATGTAGTAATCATTCCAGCTATTCTTATGTTCCAATAGGAAAGGGGAATATGAAGAAAAGGATAAAAAAATAGATTTATAAGTGTTTATTATATACATTTTAAAGAATATATCCAGTGCAAGAAAGCTCCTGGGGGTATACTTAGTATATTGTTTAATTTCTCATAACATTAAATTAATGATAAATAATATATAACAGACAAGGAACACTACAGAAAGGATCCTTACAAGGATTTGAAGTCGAGCATAAAACTGTGTTATAAAAAGAAAATGACTTAGATATATAATTTTATATTAACGATATGCCATATGATTATCCCAACAAAAGTTTCTTAAACGGCTATTCCAATATGAGAACAGTTTATAGTTACATTTCAATTATGTATTTACATCTTCTATTTAGCTTTAAATTGGTCATGCATGGTCATGCAAATTTGGTCATACATGGTTCCATTTTGTCTTCACAATAAACCTTTGTGATAAGATTATAATGAGAGATTTTGGCTTGGTAATATACATTGTGCTATGACATGGTTTATTTTTCCATGGTTTAATAAACAGTATGACTGGATTCAATATGTTGAACCAGAAACCATGGATTATAAACCACAATATCTGGATTATAGAAGACTTCATATAAAAAATAAACAAATATAAGGTGGCTGATGATGGGTTTATATGAATTTAGATATGGCAAGTCGCTAAACTAGGTCTGCCATATTTCCAAGGTAGGCATTATAAAATTGGTTCTATTTGTACATATAGGGAAACAATAAATTTCTCCTTAAATAAAGACTGTAATTCATTATGGCAAACCTTGTCTGTTGCTTTCATACCTCTTGTTATTGGTTATTGTATCTATGTGTTGTTCTTGTAAATCAGGGATGAGCAGAAAAAAGATCTGAATTAGTGGGCAGAGCTCTTGATGCTCTTGCAGTTCAGAAATGTTTTCTGAAACCCAATTTCTTAATAATGGGAACAAAATGACACCACCACCACCACCCCACACACATATGAAGAAAACTTAGAATAAATTGGAGAGGATTTTAATTGGGAAAGACCAGGAGCTCAATTCAGTGATGTATTATTTTTAATTGTATGTATTGTAAACAAACCAGAGTTCGTTTCAGAGTTGGGCAGCCTCAAAATTGGAATATTAAATTAAATACTTACAAAAATCAGGAGACTTTCTATATTTAATACACTTTATCAGACCGGATGGTAAATCCAACAATGTGGAAGGGTGTAGGAATGGCTGTTGCTAGGTTAGATTTCTCAAAATTTCTCACAGTTGAATCGTCTCCCAAAGCACTGGTATGGGGTTGTGTATTGAGGCATGAGAAAACCAACTGACATTGGATGGACCATCTGTTTTTGATTCATGTATTCTGATAGGTTCAAAACTTAGAATCCAAGCCAAAACCAACAGATTGTGCTACAGCTATTAACAATTCCTATATATATATAAAATATTATCCCCACTGGCTCAATATAGTTTTCCATTAACCTTCTTTTGGTCTTCTGCTTGTTAAATTTCTTATATTTATGAATGCAAATAGTCTCATGGGAATCTCAGCCGGATATAAAAATAACTACTCCATTATCACTCTTTGGGATATATCCTATCTGACAGAAAGATTCTCATTGTAGGAATGAATTAGACAGCCAGCCGAACATCCTGGGCTTTGGGGAAGGTTACATTAAAAACGCACAAATAAATCGTTTCTTTTTGTGATGTTCAAGAAAGAAGAGATTGCTCTGTGTGTGTGTGTGTGTCGCGCGCGCGCGTTTATATTAATATATTTTACGTGGCTCAATTCTTCCAGGATTAATATTTCCGTCTCTGTACATTGGATAGCACATTCCATTGTTAAACTTCCAACTTGGGAATAAGTGTGCTGAAATTGGCTTTTTATTCTTTTTCTACAGCTTTGATCATATTTTTTTTACCTCTTTAACATACCTGACGATATGCGTGCCCGGAAATAGGCCTCAGCGAATTTCACCGGGGTGTTCCCCCACCCTCTTTTCTCACGTGGATGTGTCTAGAAAAGAACGCACATTCCCGATTTTGCCCCATTGTCTCCTCTGCAAAACTACCCCCAGCCGCCTTAACCAACTCCGCTCCCCCACCACCTCCGGGCGCCACGCGCGCGCAGCGACACCTTGCGAAACAGACGGGCGCCCACGTGGCTCTGCGTAACCAATAGCTGCAGGAGGGTGGGACCGAAGCGGGCAGGTTTGTAGCATTTATTGGCACTGTGTTGGCCGGCCGGCTCTAGGATTCTAGTCGGCCGGCAGTCGTTGAAGTGGCGCGTCGGCTCCGCGGGGCGGCGGGGGCGGCAATGGAGCGTGTCCCGCCTTGCGAGGCTCCTGCGGTCTCCCCATTCAGAGAGGGGCTCTTCCACTTCCCAAAGGCGCCGGTGAAAAAGCAAGCGGTAAAGCGGCACTACCACAAGCACAACCTGCGGCATCGCTACGAGTTCCTGGAGACGTTGGGCAAAGGCACCTACGGCAAAGTGAAGAAGGCGAGGGAGCGATCCGGCAAGCTGGTAAGGAGGAGGAGCGCGCTGGGTTTTTTTTTAAATTCCAAAAATTCATCATCTGCCTTTCGGCTGGGTTATCGTCTCGGGGGTGGGAGTGGGGGGTCCTGCTGGCAGAGAGGATGATGGATCGTGAGGTCCCAGCCTCGCTTCTATTCTGTGCGCCTGGTTAGAAAAGACGGCCGGTTTAACATTATACTGGTGTGCGCCTGATGGGGAGGCAGCTGGAAATTGAAACTCCGAAGTGACCTATGCATACGTGTTCCGCGTCTATTGAGGTTTCAAGCCTTTGATTCAAGCCTGCAAGGTTGCTTGCTGTTCGGCTTGTTTGCAGCGCTGAGAAACTTGGCTTTTCAATAAACCTGCATGAAGTCGCGCTAGCAATATATAAAGAGAAGCTATCACGTGTTTATTCCTACTTTTAATTTGTTTTCTTTTCTGACCCAGTCAGAATCCTTGCCTTGTCTTCCTCTTACGGGTTTTTTTTTTTGTATGGATAATCTTAAAGAAATCTGTCCATCCAAGCGTTCTTTTGAATTTTCCCGCTATTTGTTTGCCTGCGTCTGTACTTGCAAGTGAAGGAAAGCCCTCTGCCTTCCTAGCTTTAGTCTGTAGGGTTTATCTTTTTTTTTGTCCTCCAGTTTGTGTAGCCCATGTAACGGCAATCTGTCCCTCCTCCCTTTCCTTAGCATTACAGAATGCTGTGGTTTCGCAGCCGTAGCCGGTGATCCCTTGCAGCTGATGTAATGAGGGTTGATCTCTCCTCCTCCCGTTCTTTTTTCCCCCTTCCCCGGTAAACAGCGCAGGGCTCAGTGGCTGCTGTAGCTCAACTGGCAAAGCTCTTGACTGCGGAGGGCTGTTGGCTGGAGAGGGGAGGCGTTTTGCTGCACAGTGAAAGTAATTAGGAACCTACACCCTGCAGGGTTTGCTGATGGTGGGGGGAGATTAGCAGTCTTTCAAGAAAAAAAACCGGAAAGCCAGCGAGAGAAGTGGGATTGCATAATGGTTCATTATTTTAATTATATTGCACACTAATTGTTATACTATTTGCAGAAGAATTTTTTTTACAACAATGTATTGGATTAATCTGCAGTTCCCTTCCAGATATTATCAATGTTTACCCATGAGTGTGGTCTACACATTTCAGTTGGGTTAAATATGTTTGTGCTGGTGGCTTTAAACAAATGTTTCCCTGTTTCTGTTGAAGGGCATAAAGCTAAATTTAAGATACCTTTAAAACACTAGGAGTTAACACTGATTTAAAGATACACACACACACACACACACACATATTAGCTTTTGTTCGGTTGGATCACAATGGATTTTACAGCATTTGTTATGTAAGTGGCCCAACTTATTGGATAAGGAATTCTAGGTTAATGCAGTAGTGCAAGAAATAATGCAAAAGTTGCATAGTGTGTTAATTCAAAATATATTTTAACAATACGAATTAACATGCAGTGAGACAGGCCCATGCAAATTAAAGGCAGTCTTGCAAGACTTCTCATGCCTCCTTTAAATCATTCTAGCTAGTGAGGAAGAGTGATAGGATTAAGGGCAATTACATCAGAGCAAGGGCGATAAGTTAGAGTGCTCTTACAAAGCTCCCTGCATGGCTTTTCTTTCTGATGGTAGTGTTTGGTGGACTGAGGTTATTCTATGGGTGGTTTGGGCAGAGTTGTTGATGCTTCCCCTTTAAAAGAATGGGGGGGGAGGATGGCCATCTTGTGCTTCTATGTTTATTTCTTCCCCACTCTTCAACTTTTTTTTAATGTCATTGATTTTGGCATGAATTTCCTGCCTGTGTACTGTTTGCCTCACTTGAAATACTGAAAGCTAGTCTTATTGGCTGGAAGTTAAGGGGTGGGGTAGGTACAGTATCCAGAAGATCAAGATCCAAAGTTCTCTGATATCTTCCTTTTAACCTTGTTTTTCCTGTGTAAATTAGCATTGCTACAAGAATGTGCATTGGGCGGTTATGTAAGCACTGTGTAAATTTGCCCTAAAGCCTGTGTCTTTGCTTTCATTCAGTAGAATACTGTGTTTGTTGAAAGAACTCATCATGATGGTATTGTTTGTCTCTCCATAAACCCCTACATAAGATATATTGCTTAAGCAGGATTGACAAAAGTTTAGAAATAAATTATCCTTGGCAGCACCATTGGTTTGAAGCATTAGTAAGCTGGGCCGATGTGGGAAGTAAGCAGTTCGAGTCATGCTGACTGAAGTCACAGATCTTGTTTCCCTGTGAAAAGAGAGATTACATGTTTATACTAGCCTGGAAGAATAAATATTATAAGCTTACCAACAAAAATAGCAAGTAGTACAACTTGACCTCTTTTTTGCACCATGCCCAGGTTAGTCAAATTTGAATCCACATCCTAGTAAGCTACTTTTATCTCTTTCTTTTTCTGATAAATCAAACATTCGTGAAGCAGGCAATGACAAATCAATTCTGTGCTGTTGCCAAGAAAACTAGATGGAAGTCCTCAGTAATCCCCAGAAGCTTAGCATGACTTGACTAAGTGTTTATCTTTTTATTCCAAAGCCAGCATCTTGGGAAATATTCATATTGCAGTACTATATAAATGCTTCTAATTAATTATGTATCTCCTATCTTAATTCAAATCATAGCTTTGAATATCACTATTGTTTCTGCTTTCAGTTGAACAAGGTGTACATGATAATTGACACCTCTGTTCAGAGGATACATCTTGTTGTTAATTGTAATGATCAGCTTTCCCCAACCTACAAATGGCAGCTATGGCCAGGAGGGCCTTTGCACAACTCCATCTGATGAGCCAGTTGTGTTCCTCCTGGATCAGGTAGCCCTTCAGTTACTCACACCACTGTCATCTTAAAATTCAACTGTTGCAGTGTGCTCTGCATGGGACTATCCATGAAGACCACTCAGAAGCATCAGCTGATCAAGAATACAATAGCGTAAGCACTAGGGGCCTGCCTAGGCATGCTTGCATGACATACCTACTTCATGAGCTGCACTAGTTGCCAATGTGCTTTTGAGTGTGATTGAAGGTGCTGGTTATCACCTGTAAAGTTCTATGTGACACGGAGAGCTGAGGTTATCTGAAGGATCGCCAATCTCCAATCGTGTCTGCCTGACTAGTAAGAGCCATTAGAGAGGGCATTCTCTAGGTCTCCTTGATTAAATAGTGTTATTTTTCAGGACCCAGAAAGTAGATTCTTTGACACACACCTGGAATCTTGTCCCTGCAAAATCCTACCATGATGACATTCCAGAAAGCCTTGAAGACCTGTCTGTTTTCCCAGATCGTGGGGTAGGGTAGATGACCCCCTTATTAGATATATTTGTTACATCATCATATTTTATATTTTTGTATTTATTTTTTATATTTTCAGCCACCCCAGAGTTGATATGGGGATAGGCAGCCATGAAATCTAATCAGATAAATGATAAGACTTGAAGGCCTTTGAATGTATTGGAACTGCCATTCCCAAAATTCTCTATCTTGATTCAGTTAATTTAACCCTAGTGAATGGTCTTGTCAAATTACTTTCCCTTACTATGTTTAGATTTAGACTTCAAATAAATCCCAAAAAGTTTGCTCAGTAATGTATCTGATAAAAAAACAAAATAAATTCAAACCAGTGTAGAAATCAAGACTTGAAATCAACATAGAATGTGGTGTAGCTTAAACATTTAACCAACTTTTATACATTCATTTTTTTTTAAAAAAATGTTCTACTACTTTCCATTGCTTTTGAAAACTATTACTATTGTAACTACCCTGAATTGCTTATGTAAAGAAATTTGAGTACCTTGTGTTTTTTTCTCTTAGAAAGTGCATATGAAACTACGGAGTGCATCCATGGTGAAGCCTGTTGGCTTCTATTTCAGTTTATTATTTTGTATTTATAAGCTAGAGAGAATAGCTTTTAGTCCTTGGCTCTCTGCCAGAGCAAACTATAGGTCTGGATTTCTATAGTTTTACTAACAGAATATAGTACTTACAATCAAGAGGTTGAGCTATGCAAGAAAGAAAGAGGAGGGTGATTTTCCTAAAAAGAAATAAATTAATTAATCCACCTCACCAATACCCAGGATAGCAGCAAATACAAGGGATTATGACAACCAGATTTAAGTCTTGATTTCTTAGGAATAAGGCAATGCATAGAATGCGGAACTCATTTTCACACAGCTGGCAAACTTTTATTACCTTTTAAAGATCTCTTTTCTCATTAAAACCATAATTAAAGTCATATTTGAAATGAGCGCTCAGACCAAATTGTAACAAAAAAAAAGCTGACTGGCGATAAAGATTGTCCACCTGCAATCATAATTTGCAGTTGTATTCTATGAAATGGTGTTATATTCTAACCTAGTCTTTACCTAGAATATGGGGCTGATTGTCTTAAACCCATTTTCCAATGTTCCACCTGCGCATAGTCACACCTCCATCTAGAATCAAATGGAGTAGATTCAGTAAAAACCAGTAAAGGTATATAATATTGATTATTCTTGTATGTATGTCATCAAACATTATACAATGCTTTTCCCTCAATATTGTATGTGAGTTTTTCTAGAAATATATGTTTAATTTAGAGTGAAAAAGGAAGCTGTATGACTTAGGACTGCATAGTTAAATGCTGTGTCTGGCAGGGAAAGGAGACAGATACAAAGCATAAAATTTGAATCTTAACAGCATATTGTAGGTAACAGTAAAATTCCATAGAAAGATATACTACTATGTAATTTGTAGCAGGAAAAGTAAAACAACAACAACTCCAGCCTGCTAAACTGTTGTCTCTTTATATGTGAGATTACAGTTCTCACAACGTGCAACCAGTACAACCTATAGTTGTGTTGATTCAGGATGATGAAAGCTGTGTCCCAACCAGGGGTAGAATACTACTGGTTCGGGCCGGTTTGCCCAAACCAGTAGTAAAAAATGCTTAAAAAATGTTTTTAAAAGTTCCGACAATCAGCTGTGCCGTATAATTTATATTCCTAGAAAGCAGGAAAGTAG